TACACTTTAGTAAATTCTGTATTTGTAACATTTTATTTAATACAGTATCTCCCAAAAAAGAATATTTGGGTCTAGTTTGGTGTACGTAACCAGAATCATTGGCGATGATCATCGACGCTCCTCAACAAAGGTATCTTAAAGCTTGTTGTAGGAAAGTTGAGTGGGAGGGAAACATGTGAGAGGAGTTTCTAGAAAACTGGAGGTTCACAAGGAGTGGACAAAGGCCTGTGTAGGTGCACTAAGAGCCACACCACATCTGCAGGGAAAGAGTTGTAGTTGCCCCTGATGCCAAGCCCCTCCTGAACCAGAGACAATCTTTTGAAATATCAGACTGGCTTTATTTCAGAAAAACATGACAGCTCTTTTATAGAAAGACAGAAAATATTTCTCACTTTTCATGCACAACACACATCACATCTCTTTTTTTAAAGACATCAGCTCTTTTCACAATATTCATGACACCGGGCTGTTTGTCACAACTCCAACATGCTGCTGTGTCCCACTTCACACCTGATGGTTTGTTTCTGATACACACTGTGGTTTAAAACTAAAAGATGTGACATGATCTTGGATGGATTATGAAGAAACGGGCTCTTCAGGAAAGGAAACTCCCACAAACCTCCAGAAACCAGACACAGATGGTATTATGAGGCGTTTCAGTGTTGGGAGAGTCAGACTGGAACATTGTGCCTTAAGGCATTAAGGCAACAACCGATTGGTTTTAGGTCAGACTTTTCGTTCAAAATATTGTAACTCTTTTTGCGTTGGAATTCTTTCAGTTGAGCGAAAGGTTCAGGACAGATGTTAAAAAAACATTATAAAACACATATCTGATGCCAGAGACAGGTTAGGGATCTGTCACTACAGACTTCTCATGTGCCTGCAATGCCTTAAACCTACTCAGGAAGTGAAAGCATTAGTAGAAAGATACTGTAAATAAGTCAGAAAATACTGAATAAAGTGCAAAGACTCAGAACTACAGTCTTAATGTCTCCATCACTGCTCAGACTTCCTGGTTTTTTGACTTGTGTCTTTATGGTTCTGTTGTTTACTTTTTTTTATAAATGCTCTTACCCGGGATAGACAAGAGACCTATTCAGTATTCCATCCACCTGTGATGGTGATGGTGAGGGGTTGCACACAGTACTTTCACAGACAACAATACAAGACTAACAGTGACAAAAAGCCACCCATACAGATGTTTCAGCTGTTCTGGATTTTACTGCATCCGTTCAGATTCACTAAAAAGCTTTCAGTGATCCAGCTCTAGTTAAAGGAAACATAAGAGACTTTTAATGACTGTAAGATTTACTTTCCACATATTAAATTAAACTTGGCCAGAATTTAGGATTTCCCATGTTCGGCTGACCTGCTCTGTCCTGATTTACATGCTGAGACAGAAATCAGTGGGAAGCAAACAAACTCTGTTTCACCTTTCATAGGTAACAATTTACATACTATAGTACAACCAACTAACCTGCTAAGACCAATAATAAGCCTATTGTGCTAATTTGGCCTCAGGTTGTTTTTCAGATTTTATTTTCAAATGTAAGAACTGTAAAACTCTACATAGCAAACACGTTCATGCCCTTTGTGGCTTCTAATTGTTCATGCTTTCGAGTCCTTATCACCCCTAGACACCTTTAAACCAACAAATAATCCACATGTCCTGCTTTTTCAACCATATTTATCTTTTCTGAAGTGTTAAATCTGGACAAGGCACCTCAGCGAGGCTCCTTCAGAGAGCCCACACCCAGCTCTCTGCAGCTCCGGGGGACATCACATCTCATGTAGCATTAAATGAAGTTTGCAGAGTGTGAGGAAGAAATCAATATCGATCTATACCAGAGGTTGACAGCTTCTTCTCTTCACACAATTCACCCTGCCTGAAGCTCCTCCTTTGTGAAGGAGCCTAAGATTGGACGAGAGCAGATAAATGCTCCCCGTTTGTGTTAATAGTCTTTGTGTCTCTGTTGTAGCTCAGCTTTGATTGCAGGGACGCCGTTAAAGCTAACCTTTGCAGCTTTTCAGCTCTAGAGGTGTCACAGAGACATTTTCTATAAGTCCTTTCCTGCCTCTGTTGGGAAACAACAGAGGCAGGAAAAGATCCAGGCTAGGAAAGCTCAAAAGAGAAGATAAGGAGAAACACAAAACTTTCAACCAGAAGTATCAGGTTAGTGTTTAATGCAGCTGAATTTACCAAAGGATTGTGAAGCTTTCACAACAGTAAACATGTTGTGATACCACAGACGTGCTGATGTTAGTGCCTTTCTAAAGACGTCAGTCGTTTTAAGAGGTCACCTCCAGGTGCCGAGCTAAATGCTGTTAGTAGATTTATAAGATTCTTCCAGCCTTTGAACCAAGTGGTTTAAAAACATTAGGATTAATCAGTCAACTTGTGGAAGAATAATCAAAAAGTGTTGAAAAAGTTCACTGTATCATAAACCTTTTACACAAAGATTCAGATTTTCTCTTCCTTTAGTGTCTCGTTGTTTAAAGATTTGCCTCTTTTATCTTCAACACAACAAGACGTCAGCAGAAGTTATGATTTTGGATTTCTATTAATAATAATATTAGTTACAGCCTACAACCATCTTATCTTTTATATTACTACACAAGCATAAACAAATAAAACAGAAGCTATATTTTTTACAGGGAATTAAATTGCTTTGGCAAAGTTTCTTCACGTTCATGTTAAAATGTTGAGCACAGTCACTCTCAAACGACATGTCAGTGAGCTGTGCTTTAGCAGATGCTAGCTGTTTCCATCTGCTTGCAATATTAATAATAAGCTATGCTGAGCACCTCATGACAGAGACTGATACTGGACTAGATCCACAGAGCTTCCAAAACTATTTCTTTAAGTTCCTGTTAATATTTCTACATGTTTTCATAAAATAGTAAATGTAAAAAAAAGATTATGTAAGGTTATTTAACTAAACTTTGGTATCTGCTGTTATATTTAGTGGAACAGATGTGATCATTAGCACCAAGCCCTACTTTAAAATGTCTGCCCACAACGGCTCAGCCCACATGTGGAGGATGCTTGAATAATTCCTTGAGACGTGTGGTCGGCTCAGTGGCACACACATCTCCCTCAGAGCGGCTGATTTTCACCGATTTCATTAGAAACTGTCGGTGAATCGCCTGGAGGAGAGCAGCAAGCCTCTCCAGTTTTCTGGTGCACCAAGGCCAGATAGTTTTGCTTCCTTAGTTTCTTTTCTGAACCTTTGAGCAGTGGAAGGTTGGGCTTGTTGTTCTACTCTGCAAAGCCAGAGCTAATCACACCACAACCAAACAGTCACTGACTGCAAAAATGAGCTTTCTTCAAATGATTTCACTGTTTTTATTTCGTTGATTATCCATAACCCACACGCAGACACTGTGGGGCACATGTCACTGTTTCTTTCTAGCTCCCATGATGTTATTGAGGCTGTCAGAGGAACAGTTTGTGTTTTTAAAGCAGATTATATTAAATTCTTTGTAACCAGTATTCTCTTCAAATCCAATCACGCCAATCTGGCGAACAACAGTTAATCATGAAGCCACGTTTTCTTACACCTCCTACAAATCTTTTCCCGAGCCATTTGTAATCCCGTCCCAAAATAACATATTAGGAAGGCTTGAAGAATGAAATAATCTCCAGCAAGGTGTGCGTTAAGGGATTCATATGCATATCACAAAAGCCACTGGAGGCTTCTTTGTGCCAGATGCCTCTGCACAGACCTCCCCGTGGGCACGAATTTCTACTGGAGGTAGAAATAATAAAAAAGTATTCACAGTGTGATCTGTGGAGCCAAGACGCTTTTTAGGGGAAGCGCTGCAGTAAAACTAAGTGCTGTCATCAAATTACAGGTGTTCTGTCAAGATGATCAATCTCAGATTGTTAGGTGTACTGAACTGCTCATTTTCATTCTACTCTGCTGGTAAATAAACTTCCTTATGGATGAAGAAGAGACATCAATATTAAAGCCACCCGACCCTGCACCCAGTCATAGTCAAATGGCACAAAAAGCCTCATAAATAAGTCTTAGATAGTCTTAGATACATCTCTGGGAAAAAGCCTTCTTAAGCTAGCCTGAAGAACTACCACAGCATCCTTGCTCGGTCCAGTCATTGTAATAACACTGGTGTGATGACAAGTGAAGAAAAGGTACTTTCACTTAAGCACGTTATGCTGTGTGGTGCGTGCTACCTGAATCACAGTCCATAATTACATCAAGCCTCGACATGAACTGAAATCAACATTAAAATCATTTTAATTATTTCTCCAGCGGACTTTGAAACGTCAAATAAAAATTCTGGAAACAATGAGAACTTCACAAAGCTTGTTTAGTGCAACCAGAACTTAAAATCATTGTGTCACTGAAGAAGGACTCAAAAGTGAAATAAGTGGAAATCAGAACGATAAGGCTTCAAATTATAATGTCTCATTTTTTGCAGCTGTATTTAATTGTATTCATACTGTGTAAACTTGTAAGTACTTGTATTTGAAAACATCTTGTTTTATAATATACAAAGCAAAAAGAAACCTTTTTTAATGTACCTAGCTGACAAAAAAAGCATAAAATGAAAAATAAATACAAGTGTTTAAAACGGCCATTATGCTCTTGTGTTTCCTTTTGGGCCATGGTGCAGTTTTTCAGTTGATCCTGTTTAAAGAAGCTATTGGAGTGTTTTTAGTTCTCTCTCTCTGTCCCTGTTGTTAAATGCATAAGCATAGCTAGTTGGGCTTCTGTGCTCAATGCCTGAACTGAAAGGCTGAGATGACCATACAAGGAATATCTGCGCTCACTGACATCATAAAGATCCAAGGATAGAAAAAAAAGTTCTGAAGTCTGAGCTCTCCTCTCACAGAGATCACCTTTACATACACCAACATTAGTTCTGAAACTTTGGCCGTTTTCTGTGAACATCCACCAGTAGAAGAACAACGCATATATAAAATTAAGGAAAAGACACAGAAAAGAAAATGAGACAGAAGCGGAGCGTGAAATGACAGGATTATTATTTCACTTAATGTTGCTAAAGTAAACACAGAAACAGGAAACCAGCAGTAAAATGTGACCGTAGACCTGCAGAGTTTGAGCTGGACGAACTCAAAGAAACCCGGAGTGATCACAGCCATAGAGTCGCTCGCATGCCCACAGCCAATCAGAAACAAGATCAAAGCACAAAACAGAAACCTTTTGTTGTGTTCAGCTCCTCCCTGATGGGTGTGATTTTCAAGTTTGCACAAGATGCACTCTTTTTCTACAAGGCTTGCTCTTGTTCTGCAAGCTGGAGACGCAATCCACATCACGCTGCCTAGCCCCAACCACCCCACCGCTGAGCCGAGGGACACGAGAGGCAGGATTTATCACTGACGGGCAGCTCTGCCCAAAGCTCTTCATCCACTTTTCTCCACCAGAAACCTCTTTTCACTCATAAACAACAAAGAAATAAAGCACTCAGACTTCTGTGTGATGAAACAGAGTTTTTGGCACAAAAGATCTCGTCGAGGTAATTGAAGCAACAGCAGTGAACACGACCAACGAGCATTCAGTAAGCACTAAGAGGTTCCTGGCATACATACAGTAGAGGTTCAGTCATTTTCTTCTTCTCTGGTTTCCTTGACGTTTTATTAATTTCCTTTTTTTTTTTTTTTTAGTTCGGCTCTTAGTCCCACCCTCACGGACTTTGCTGCTCCATGTTTTCGATCAAGGGGTCTTTCTTTAGGAACTGCAGATGTCTGATGGACCTCCACACTCCGACATAGCTATCACTGAGTGACGTGGCAGCAGTGGTGTTCTCTTTGTGGAGGTGCTCCCTCTGCATCTCCAGTGCCTCTTTTTCTGTCATGACATGAGAATTGACACCTTTCTCACCTTCTCCCGTCCACAACTGTCCGTTAGCCAAATGGGCCGTGGCTGCTGCCTCCTCCTTGTCGTCACTGCTCGGCACTCCTTCTGTCTCTGGCTGCTCTGGATCAGGTCCTGTAGTGGGACCGCTCCCGTCCAGCGGAGGTTTCTCTCTGTAAGGCTTGCCCGGCAGCCCGTTGTCCTTTCCCGCCTCCTCCAGGTCCTCGTACGAGCTCTTCTTCTTTGTCTCGTAGTATTTAACCACACAGTAGGTGATGGAGCCGATGGTGTTCACCACCACACCGCCAATGAAAAGACTGGTGGGTGCAACGTCACTGAAGGCCAACATACCGACGGTGATGGTGGCGATGCTCTTGACCACACCAACGAAGCTGGTGGTGACAGCTGAGTTGATGTAGGTGCAGTGCAGCGTGGTGAAGTTCATGGCACAGCCAATGAAGATGCAGAAGATGAAGATGACCGTGATGTGAGGGTCCGTCCAGCCCTTGTATGACCAAATGTTGATGGCATCCATAGAAATGAAGGAGCACACCAGCAGCACCTGAGAGAAGACGATAAAAATACAAAATGAGAAGCGAGAATAACGATGGCAGTAAAGTTTGAAAATACACCACTCCATACCGGTGAGGCCATGATGGCGATGGCGTACTGTGCGGTAAGCGGTCCATACTCGCTGTCCAGACTGGTTTTCTGGATCAGAACCAAGTAGGAGGCATGGATGATGACGGCTAAAACACCGGTGACGTAACCAAAGGGATCACCTGTGAGATCACCGGCACCTGCGGAGAAAGAATTTAAATCAAGTTTTCACAATTTTTTATTTCAACATCTGTAAAGTTTCTCTCGATTTTATTTACATGATATTTTTCTGAACTTTAAGTTCAGTATAACTGGGATATGGTATGTTTTATCCACAGCCTACATCAATATTAATACAACTTTTTGTAACAGGGCAACAAACAATAGCACCCTGTCGAGTGCCAACTGCACCTTACTTCAGATGCCCGCTAAGTCTACGTCCCAACATTGAAGGGCGGGGCTTGTTGGATCAGTTTAGGAAGTCAAAACAACTTCCGGTCAGGAAGAGATGGTAGACTGGGTCCGGTCCCTTCACAACAGCAATTCCCAGCAGCTTTGTGCTTTGTTAAATGGATGATTTTTTATTTATTTTTTATTCATCAAGACGTCTGTTTATTTGATGGGTAATTTGCTATAGTAACCTGAAACCACACACTGTCCGGGGAAAGCTTAAGTACACCCTGTAATTAAATTGCTTATAAAAAGAACTTCGGGCACAAATACTCGAAGAATTCATTATTTTCTCATGTGGTTGTGAAGGAATTTTGCAGGCATTCATTCATTCCACAGCATTTCGATCGTGTTGGGATCTGGACGTTGTCTGTGGCATTGCAGCATTGGGTTCTAGAGCTTTAACGTTACTGTGAAATGTTGAGCAGCATTTCTCAGACAGCTTCTCCTTCTGTGTCTGAGAGGTTTCCTTGTGTTTTAGCATATCTGTGATATCAAAAGATGGGAGATTGTGGGAGTTTGTAGGTGGGAAAGCTGAGGAATGAGGACAGATGATGAAGAAGGAAAGATGGAATTAATCCTGTGCTGAGCCTGTATGCTGGAAGCTTGACAAGGAAGCTTCTCATACTGAAAACAAACTACACTAACTGAAGCCTCGTCTGCCAGCGTGATGTCAGTGCTCGTGTTGTCAGTGAAAACCAACCAATACACTTGGTCAACCTGCCCATCAGATTTGGCAAACACACAGCAGTCACTTCCATTTTTTTACATATTCCATCTTTGGATTCATCCACTGCTGCTGACTGTCCCTTACAAATGCACAAGTTCCTCGTGTTTGAGAAAGTGGTGCTCATTGCTTTTAGAAAACTGCTGGATTTTTAAAGCACACAATAATACATGTGACTGTGGATATTTTTAATGTAATTGGCTTTGGGCTGGCAAGTCATAAGTTGTTACTTAGAAACGCTTCTTGTTGGTAGAAATCAGGAAAAGACTAAAAACTACAATGAAACTCATTAGGAACTTGAGAAAGATGGTATTAAAATTATTTTTAAAAAACACAAACTTTAGTGAATCAGGTTCTGACTCATAACGACTTCCACTGTTGCAGTCGCATGCTTCTGTTGGCCCATCATCATCTGCAGCGATACAATGTTGCTCTTCTTCCACACGGCCCCTTTTCTATGTGAGCCTTTTAGAAATTCTTCAGTACTGGTGATGGTGCAGAATGCGCTCTGATCAGCAGCAGTGAACACCAACCATTTGTAGCATTTGCACCTTTAAAGCTCCATAGATGCACGATTTATTCCTGCAGGTAGGCGGAAGGATTTTTATACTACCTCCTCACCTCAGTGATGTTAATCCAGGATAGAGTGAATGTGACCAATTTTCCAATTCATTTAAATTCAATTCAGTTTTATTTAAACAAGACCAAATCACAACAAGAGTTGCTTTGTGGCATTTTATATTGTTATATTATAGCAGCTGTAAAAACCAGCTGTTTTAATAAAATCTGTTTTTTTATTAAAATGTTTAGCTGTTCCTTAAATTGATGTCACTAAAAGCACATAAAATAACCATTAGAAGCTACTTTATATGTTCATGGATGTGCAAACATTGCTCAGTGGGTTATCATAAAAACACCTTTAAACTCAGAGAGAATATATAATTTGCATTTTCTATTATTTTACATCAAATTTAGAGATGACTATCCACTTCTAAAATAATTCACCACTTATAAGGCGCCACATTTGGTCTATTATCTTTCAACTCAATGTAATTGGTGTAGCTGTTCCCCTAGGTGTTACAATCGAGTGTAGCATCCCTGATAAAGGATGAGAGGGGGGCTGGTAAAGTTGGATGGGGATCCTGTTCCATCTCAGGCAGCCATCAAAGCCGTTCGTGCCCACTAAGCACTTACAAATCCACAAAATTCTCACCAGCACTTTTCTGAGTTCATATGATTCAAAATGGGGTCAGGTATAATTTTCACAGAAGCTCAGCAGAGAGAATTGAGTGGAGTTTCAAAATAAAAGCCCCATGCAAACTAAACACAGGTGTGCTCCTGGTGTGATCATCTGCCCCTTGTTAAGCATGTGTGATGTTTTTTACAACTTTTAGAATAAAGTTTAAAATCTGAATAAAGGCTCTGAGGTACAGTATGTGCCAACATACAACAGGAAGTAGACCCTGAAAAACATTCGGCTCAAAAGACTCGCTGCACAACAACATCAACCATCACAAAGGCTTATTAAACTTGGGGTGGGGGAAGGGGTCATAAGCTATCTCCCCCATAATATTAATCATGGCTGAAAGATGTGCCTCATACGCAAACTGTTGACGTGACAAACAATCCAAATGTTGCAGAGATTTGGCTAATCCACAAGGGACGCATGGAAGATGCACATCTTACTTTTTTTTTGCGAGAAGCGGTAATTATCATGAAGATTAAAACCCAGGATGATGAATCTGTCCATTAGATTCATATTCTGCAGAGTTCACAGTCCATGTTCCAGCAACCCCCCATCCAGCAGACTGGATTAATCCAGGAAATGAATTGTGCGTGGAGGTTTTTGTTTATGACTTCAGGATCGTTATCGCTAATGGAAGGGCAACATTTACTGCTGAGAATGATGATTAAAAGATCTGTATAAGACAGATAACTTAATGTTTAAACAGCTTTAACTGTTGTTGTTTTTAAGGATCAGCTTCAATATTTTCTTCTCCTTTATGAAAAAAACAAATACATTAAAAGAAGATGGAAAGGCAGAGTAAACAAGTTAACAGAGGGATGAATGAACAGCAAGAGAAGGCTCTTTAAAAAGTACACGCTACACCTTTGACATTTGACCACGGACAGATGGAGTTGACCTGAAACACTTGTGCTTTAGGAATAAGAGAGTGAGGGATTGTTTCCCACAAACACAACACAAGTTAAAAGCTGTTTGAGAATCTGTTTACGGCACATCGCTTTGGCTATGTGGGTGTTACAAGCCAACCAGCCAACAGCTTATAGGACTGTGGGAGCTGCTCAAAAATAGAAGAAAACAGGTTCCTGGCACAACTTCACCAACTTCCAAGGTGCATAAAGAAAAGTCAAAAATGTTAAAACTCTGAAAAACACTGATATAGAAGCATTCAAAATGTTTTTGCAACTATCCCAACACCTCTGTTCTTTAATAAGGTGGTTAAAGTAATCAGACGGACGCTATGTGGACCAGTCTGCCAATAATAGACATGACTGGAGTCTCCTCCACTCTTTAATTTTTTTAATTTTGCAAATCAACATCTGTTTCAAGGCACTTTATATTGCAAAGTAAAGACCTTAAAATGTTAACCCCCCAAAATTGAGACAATCCACTACAAATAGCACTCTGACAGTGGAAATGCAGAAATGCCTTTTAACAAGGAAGAGATCTCTGGCAGAACCAGACTTGAATAAGGGCAGCTGTCCAAGGCAACCAGGTAAGGGTGTAAGGGGGAGAAAGAAGGAAAGCATTTTGATGCAAAGATGGACAATGGGACAAGCAGCTCTGGTGGGGTAGTGTGTGTCAGCACATTAATGGGATGTGGAATATTCTTGGACTTGGGCTAAAACCTGTTAGCACGTTAGTAACAAAGACATAAACAGGACTATGGGCGGTACAGAACCCTGAGCACCTTAAACTGCTTCAGTGCACTAGTTTGTCACTAATTAACACTCAAGTGTGTGTGTGTTTGTGCTCACCAGCTAGCGCAGCTCCCCCGGTGGTGATGAGCACAGCGGTCACCACCCCGACAGACGGCACGCCGTTCCTGAGCACGCACACGCCAATGCTGAGCGTGAAGAGTGGCAGGCAGCGCTTGAACACGACGTACATGGGCAGGCTGAGGCCGCGCAGAGACCACAGCGTGAGCGTGGACTGCAGCGTGGAGAGGATACACACTGAGGCAAACTCCTGCACAGACAGGAAGAGACAAGCATCCATGGTGACACATTAACACACATTCACTTCACTGAGGACCTGACCACTTTACTTGAGTATCTTGAACGTGCTGGAGCAATAACAGAAATCTGCTTCCTGCTCAAGCTGATGCAAACACACATTCTCAGGCCTGAAACAGACTTGAAGTGTTTCCATGTTTCTGTGACTAAAATGAAACTTGTTTGCATCTACATAGCGCTGCCACAAACGATTATTTTGATAGTCGACTAGTCACCGATTATTTTTGTGATTAGTCGACTAATCAGCTCATCATCTATTGGACGTAGAACGTACAGCTTATTGCACCAGCAGCATCTGCTCTTATATAACTATCATTAGCTTACAGTTTTAAGTGTTTAAGGTGTGTGCTAACTAAAAATAAAGACAAGATGATAGTTTATTAAATGTTAATGACATTTGCAGATTGTTTCGGTGGAGTTTAATAAACTCGTCTGCTCCTTGCTCTCTAAAATATAACAAGACACCGGAGTATATTCTCGAGCATCTCACACTTCTGATAATCAGTTGTCTGCTTGACGCTTATTCAGCTGTGTAAAAACTATAACTTTAATCTCAGCCAAACAGATTTACTCAGGAACAAATGAAAACCAAAAAAAAGCCAAACGATAACATTTGTAAGTTATCTAAGTGACTTATATATCATGTTTAACCTGAGTAGCGAAAGACAGCGGTGGGTTTGAAAACGATTTGCCAGGAGTCCGGTGTTCTCACCGGCTCTAGTGAGCCTTGCCCCCGGCTAGCTATCGAGCTAGAGGGTAACAGACGTCTCCGAAAATGTCGGAGCGCTTTTGAAAATATGTGGTGTCTTGATAAACTGAGCAGATATTTGAGGTTTACACAGCTACATTCTCGCCTGAAAATATGTTAAACGTTTATTTTGTGACCCAGAAAGAATAATAAGAGTAATATTAAAACTAACTAGCTGCCGCCATTGTTGGAAACTGAGCAGGGCCGTGCTATGAATTCTGGGATATGTTGGGCCACGAAGTATACACCCAACCCATCCTTCAAATCTGGGGAAATGAAGGGCGCATTTGTCGGAGTCTTCGAATTTGGACAGTCTTCGTCGTGTCGCTGTAATGTAATTGGCCTACAAATGCGGGCACAGGAGGATGTGGTTCCTGAATTTGGACACAGCTACGATACCGGACACTGCTTCTGCAGTGTGGTCAGTATTCAGATACCTGGATAATATTCGAGCGGCACAGTATTTACCACTCCAAAACACTCAGGGCACTGCACTAAAGAACTCCACTTTTATGGTAGTAATGTCAGTAAATCGCTACACTTCAGAACTCCACTTTAAGTACAGCATTTCCCCTGAAATGTAGCAAAACAGAAATGCCTCAGATTTACACTGAAGTCCAAAAATCACAGCTAAATCTGCCTCCTAAAGCAGCAGTGAGTGCAGCTGGAGTTAATGTGCTGTGCCTGAACGTGTAGTATTTGTACTTTCATCCAGAAACACTCGTTGTGTTCGACGGATCAGGCCTTGGGTCTCAGTGGACCCACAGCCTCTGTTTAATGTACATCGACTGTCATCATTTTTCACTGTCGAGGAGGCGAATCGTACAAATGCAAGCAGAGGTGGAATGACCGCAGTCGTGTCTCTGTGTTGTTCTGATGCCTTGTTTATACCCTGTTTCACTGAGTGAAAGATGGGAGGCCTGTTCTATGTTAAAACTCACATTAATTATGAATGATGAGGATGGCAGCTCCAATACAGTGTTTAAACTCAAAGATACAGCTGAAGTGAAGAAGAACATTAATAATAAAATAAAGATAAATAGACTATAAGCATCCAGTATGATGAGTTCAGTTCTCAGATCTGGACGTTTTTAATGAATAAAAAGAATCTTGTGAACAAAAAAGTCATTGATTTCTGAAAAGCTCCTATTCCTAAAAGCTTTGGCAAACACAAGCTTTGAGCAGGTGTCATTTATTTGTTCTAATTACATTGTTTTTAATGATGAAGTAGTAAAAACTGAGCCCGTCCCCAGAGACTGCTGAATTAAACCTTACAGGGTTTAAAGGAAAACCATCTTTCTTTATACAGTGTGTGTGTGTGTGTGTGTGTGTGTGTGTGTGTGTGTG